GAACTAATTAAGGCATGTTGGGAAGCTGGAGTTTCTAAAATACATCGGTTGGTTGAAAAGATCTGGGTGAACGAGAAATTACCTGAAGAATGGAAAGAATCTATTCTTATTCCGATTCACAAAAAGGGTCCGAGGACGGATTGTAATAACTATCGAGGAATTTCACTCCTTCCGGTATGTTATAAAATATTCACTCTAATCTTAACCAGTCGAATCACGGAGTACGCCGAGGAAATTATTGGAGACTACCAATGCGGATTTAGACGGAATCGTTCGACTATTGATCAAATATTTTCTTTACGGCAAATATTAGAGAAAAAATTGGAGTATAACGGTATTGTTCACCAGCTGTATATAGATTTTAAAAAAGCTTACGATTCTATTGACCGCCAGAAACTGTATAATATTCTAATCGAGCAGGGGATTCCAAAAAAACTAGTAAATCTAGTCAGGATGTGCTAGACGGAGACACTCAATAAAGTTAGAATCGGTAATAATTTGTCCGAAAAATTTGAGGTTCGTTCGGGTTTAAAACAGGGGGATTCTCTTTCGCCTGTCCTGTTCAATTTGGCATTAGAACATGCCATTAGGGAGGTAATGCGAACCGAGAAAGGGTTGGATCTGGGCGGAACAACATCCGTGCTGGGCTATGCTGATGATCTGGTACTGTTAAGCGAAGACGTTGAAACTATAAAACTAAATACGACAACGTTAATGAAAGCCGGTAAAGAACTAGGACTCGAAATAAACGTGGATAAAACAAAATATATGGTTAGCTGCAAAAATTGCGATACTACTGGTGATATCGATATAGATGGTAATATGTTTGAACAGGTAGATAAATTTAGGTATCTAGGTTCTACGATAACTAGAAAAAACGAAATTGAAGAAGAGATTAAGGTTAGACTGAAGGCGGGGAATGCTTGTTATTTTTCTGTGACAAAACTACTTAGTTCGCGCCTCTTGTCCCGAAACTTAAAAATTAGAATCTATAAAACAATTATCTTGCCTACAGTTCTTTATGGATGCGAAACTTGGCCGCTTACATTAAGGGATGAGCAGCGTCTTAAGGTTTTTGAAAATAAAGTATTGCGTAGAATATTCGGACCGAAGAAGGATGAGTTAACCGGAGAGTTCAGACGGTTACACAACGCCGAATTGCGTGAGCTGTATCCGGGTAATATAATTGAGGTAATTTCATCGCGGCGAATCAAATGGGCTTGTAAAGTTGTTGGGCTTAGTAACGAGAGAATTCCTAAAAGGTCAATATTTGCTGTGCCGAATGGTAAGCGTCCGAGGGGTAGACCGAAGCGAAGGTGGGAAGATTGCATTAAAGCCGATCTGAAGGGACTGGGTTTGAACGGCGAACGGTGGAGGGAGGTGTGTAACAAGCGATTGGTGGTGTCGGCATCGAACCTTCGGGTTCGCTAAGCCTTATTATTATCATTATTATTAAATAAATACATCTAGTAAATTAGAACATAATGTATATAATGACATGAAAAACACTTGCTGAGTAACTACCCGATAGAAATTGCTGAGTAACTACCCAATGGTAGCACTGTAATGATATGTTTACATTAGGAGATCGCGGGGGCATCTTCTTTTCAGACGCCTCGGAGGGTTATCAGGAATTGAAGATGAAGCAAGGTTAGAAACGAGAGGGTTGGGATGATTCTGAAGTTTATGATGGAAGGATAGGCATCTGGATTGGGCCAGATCTGAAACAAAAGGAACATTAAGGTCATTATGGATGGTATTGTTTATAACAAAGTAGGGAGCATTGAGGATTTTAAGGAGGATTTTGGATTGTAAGGATTGGATACGAGAGGAATTCGATGGTTTAGTGGAGCCCCATAGCTCAACTCCATAAGTCCAAATAGACCTTATAATAATCTAGTATATGAGTCTTTTGTAATTAATTAGAAGATTAGAGCGTTTATCTAGTAGGTGCTGAAGTAATCGGAAACGTCGAGTGGTTTCTTGTCGTTTCAATCTAGTATGAGGATTCTAAGTTAGTCGTTTGTCCAGGTGGAGTCCTAGGTATCGGATTTGCTCAACAGGGATAAGTGGAGTATAGTTAAAGGAAACTGTAGGACAGGAAGTTGTTGGTTTACGACGAAGGGTGAAGGTAATTTGGTGGGATTTATTGGAGTTTATTTTAATTCTCCAGTTTTGACACCATTCTTCTAGATTTATGATGTGTGATTGAAGCATTTGGGATGCAATTGCTGGGTCATTATTTATTGATAGGATGCATGTGTCATCGGCATATGTGGTGATGACAGTGTTGGGATAGGTAGGGATGTCGCTGTATAAACTGTATAGAGGATAGGGCCTAGGATACTACCTTGAGAAACACCAGCGGACTGGGAAAAAAGGGATGAATAGGAAAACGTTATATTTGATTTGAAAAGGGTTCAATTTGTATTGGAATAGTTAACTTGAGGAAATTTAATATGACTAGGAAAAATAAATTAATATATAAATGTCGAGTACCAAGGATCATCCAGGTGAACTGTGGCGTTTATTCCAGTTAAGATAAAAAAAAGTGAAAAGACGGATAAAAAATAAAAAAGAACCGCGGAAGGTACCGTGTGAAGCAAATATACTCTTTTTTTATTTTATATACCATCAAATAAATAATACCAAAATTTTAAGAGACACATTTTTTTTTTCGTGGTCGTTTATAAAGGTTCATTATCGAACAAAATTAAAATAATAAAATTATATTCAAATTTAACATTAGCGAATAGTTTGAAATAAGTATACATTTAATAAAATAGTAAAGGGAAGGAAAATATTAAAATTTATATGAAGGTGTAAGAAAATAATCTATGAAAACCGACATAGCGTTTAATTTAACTTCAAACGATAATTTAAAAGATGAAACATTGAACTGCTAAATTAAATTATGTGAGGTGCGCTGTTTTCAAATAGTAAAGTTTCTCAACTGTAGTATAAAGTCTAAACAATACAGAAATTTCATTAATTTTAACATGGTTGAGCACAAGTTTAAGAGTATTGCAACTATCATGAGGTATAGGAGGGGTCTTAAATATTGAATAAATAAAAGCTTCTTCTATCTTCCTTCAACTTATCGAACTGTATGACTTATTTTGAAACAAAACTGTCTCTACAAAAACAACAAAGCTGTCTAGTACAGCCTATTAATGTATATATATATATATATATACTGTTTTTCTTGATAGCAATCTCGCTAAGTGTCAGTACTTCTGACTTGGGTTAATAGATAAATAAATGGAGTTAATACTTGCATGTGCATGAGAAAAATGGGTCGTTTTTCTAACAACCTAAGAAAAAAAGATAAAGTAGTTAAAGACACAGTATTAGTTTTTTGCCACCAAGCATAAATCAACCCCACTCTACAAAATTCCCACATTCAAGAGAAGAACTTTATTAGATTTTTTGTACCTATTAAAAAAAAAAAAAAGGACCACCTAGAGATGAGAATTTGACGGTTTGTTATTTTAACACAGATGAGAAAAGTAAATCTTAGTAGACTTTATTTGGGTACTATTTCTGTACGTGGAATATTAAACATTCTTTCGCATACTGGTTAAAGTCATGTATACATATTTCAAATTTACTTTTCTAAATATTCAATACAACACAAATATTTTTTCCAATTAAGAAAAAAAAGTGAGGTACATAAAACTTTTTTTAAGTCAATGATTAACGACATTTTTCGCTTTTAAAATAAAATTTAATTGTTAAAAAATTAAAATTGTTATGGAAGTTATTCTCGAAACCAATCAAAATTTCCGAGATAAACAAAAATACTATTGAAGTTAGTCGACTGTTCTACATATCATATGTAATGAATAGTGAGGACGCAGTTATTTTAAGAGTACTTGAACGCCTTCAGTGGTGGTAATAAATGCCTCGATGATGACCAATATGCTGGGGTCAAACGTCGAGAACAATAAAACTCTTAAAATTAAAGCGTGCTGATTATTTATCACCTATAAAAATACTATTGATGATCATGTTGATACATAAGATATGATATCACTGAATATTTGTATTTTAAACGATAGATAATGGAAAGGTTGGTAGTCTCCGACGGATATTATTATACATTTATATGATACTACTTATACCTATAAAACGAAGATGTTTTTTTCTCTTGCACATGCAAGTATTTTTTACTTTATTTATTTTTAACACTAAGCATAAATTAATTCCATTCCACGAAATCCAGAAGTATAAGGTTAAACTGTTAAACCACAGGTGGATATACGAGGGGGGCTTTCGGCCTGAAGTCTCCCCCCAAACGGTAAACTATCACCATATTTTATAGAGAAAAAAATTAAAAACAATCTCTTAAACTATTATTGTTAGTGTAATTACACTTAATAGAACTTCAAGAGTCACTAAGACACCATGTAATATGGGTAGTTAGTTTCTTTTTTTTTTCAAGTTAATTATCGTTATTATATGAAAAAAAAAATCCTTCGGGCTGAAGCCCCTCCCCCCAAATTAAATCCTGAATCCTTTAGTGGGTTGAACCATGTATACTGACTAAATAAACCATGTATGCATATTTTAAAATATTTTTTTTTAACCTTCAATACTCTGAATTTCCTCTTAAAAAGAAAAGAAGAAATTTTTAAAATGATACAAATGTTCTTAGCGACCGATGAACAATATATTTCACGACATTTTATTTTTTTATTAAAAGAAACATAAAATTGCATTTCTAAACAATCGTTTTCATGAATAAACTACAATAATATTGAGCAGTAGTGAATTCCGGGTTCAATTTTGGATCGAGTTTTTTTTTTATTTCGAGGTAATTAATTAAGGAGAAAACGAAAGGCATATATAAAATGATGTCTACTTGATTCTTGAAGTACTGGTGCAAAAAAACAAACAAAATAAAACATAAAAAACTGAAATTATAAGAAAATAATGCTTTATAAGAAAAAAAGAAATAATATTTGATGTTAAAGATAGTTTTTATTTAAAATGTCATTGGCAGTTTCCGATAAATATTATTATAAAAGTATATTGTATGATATTTCTTATTTCTCCGAATATGTCTTATACAATATATTTTATTGTATAAGAAATATTTTGGCGACAAAAGGAAGAGGAGGGCCCAGAGGCTAGAGAAGGCATTAGGTCAGGAAGGAGAATCTTCAGTTGAGTGAATGCTTTGAGGGAGGCCTGCGCCTGAGACCTAACAGCTGCCATCTCACAAAGCATCTCCTCCAGGACTCCATCTCAACTCTTCTTATAACCTTCCAGGGAGTGGACAGTAGCTCTTCCAGTACTCGGAAAATGGAAGGGAAGATTGCCTGTATCGGTGAAAGGCCTAGGAGTCGATTGGAAATCACTAAAAGCATGCTCGTGTTGTCATTTCTGTAAAGAAAATTACATCTCTGTAATAGATTAACCTTGGAAAATATTATAAAACGGAAAAAATGTTTAAATATAAGTTCTTTATTGTCTTAGAGCCTAAGGCTCTCTATTAGAGACAAAAGTACATTTAAATTTAACAATTTCCTCACAATTAACAAATTAGTATTAAATTTCACAATTTAATTTTAATGGTCTTAAATTAAATTAGTATAAATATTAGAACTTATAAAATGAGTTAAAAAAAATAAAACAATAAAATTTCTTGACAAAATTTAATATAGTAACATTTCGCTCAATTTATTTTTACAATTTTCAAATACATATTCTAAAATTACTTAGCCCTATATACGTCTGTGGTTATAGTGCCTATGCTCAGCCTCCACTGGTCCTTAATACTAGCAATGCGGCTGAGTAAGAGGCAGTGGTATCTCCTAGAGTTCTGCTTTTCCTTCCACTAGCGGCGGAAAGGTTTGGATCGGAGTTCTTCTGTTTGACTGATTTTTTTTTTAAATATAAAAGTATGCTTATATTTAAGTTATTTCGATTAGTTTATTTTAATTTTGTTTATATACATTTACTTTTAGTATTAGTACTTTGCTGTTTAATTTATTTTTATTTATTGTACATATAGTTGTAAATGTACCCTTTGAACGCTATTGCAAATGTCCTAAATTGAGATACATTGTAATATTTCTCAATAAAAAAGTTTTAAAAAATAATTACCGAATTCTAAAATTCATTCATACTCTTAGTCATCAGTTGGCTGATGATTCATTAAAACATGCTTTTATGTTACTGAACTTTAAGTAATGCCTGTTGCATTGCCTTTTAATGCTATTTAAAATATTTTATAATGTATAAATTGCTTTATGATACTATTTAAAAATACGATGCCTAAAACTACCTAATGAAATTAATATATCTAATTAATTCATATGGCCTATGTTTATATAAATATATGTGTTATATGTTTGTATAAATGTTTTATCATTTTTTTTCTCCAAAAATACCTTCAAAACTGTCGGGTTTCCCCCTATTGGAATATGTTTGGAAAGAAATGAGGTCACAAATCTAATCAGGTTGAGAACCATTCATAGCTATAGAAAAAAATTCATAAACTTGATAAAAATAAATGAGATAACAATCAATGTGGGATATGTGAAGAAGTCGAGGATCCACTAAATTTAGTGATATACTGTACATTTTAGCTAAATAAAATATATCCAGGGATTGGCACTCAATATTCCTAAAATAACAAAGAACAAAATCAGCTTAGGAACCTTAGAACCTTAGAAAACTAAAATAATGGCTTTAATATTTGATAAAACATAAGTTTAGGATTTGATTAAAATTTTGGAGCCAAAAAAAAAATGAAAAATAAATTTTTTTTTTAATTTAAATTATATAAGGCATTCCTCTTCAACTGAAACCAGCACCTCATTCGTTTACTCCATCTAAAGTTGAACTACAAATCAAGCATTTGCATAAAAGAGAAGCCCGTGATTATGCCAAGTATTTCTGAAAATTCACAACTGTATTTAGGACATAAAAATTTCCAGTACAGTGCAAAAACTCATTAAAATGATTTAAAAACAAGGCAAAGGCCTACACAATCATTTATTTTATAGATCAATAAGCCTTCTTCCAATATGTTCTAAAACATTTGAAAAAATGAATGTCCGAAAGACATACTGACATACAAACATACTATCAGTTCGGCTTTCGCGTGTTCCATTCGACAACACATCAATTACACAGACTTTAGAACTGTATGCAACTGGTGTATTTTTGGATTATCTTAGTACTCGTGTATTATCTTAGTTTGATAGTCTGGCACCAGTGTCTTCTCTTTAAACTTAAGTCCATACCAGCGCACACATACTTCCTGATTCTTCCATATTTACCTCTCGAGAAATTTTTCTCACCACGGCAGGGCTAGAAAATTTACTATCTCTTATTATATTTATTAAGATTATAAAATATTTTCTCTATATATAAGATATGTTCTCACGATTTCTTTCATAGAAATTAAGTGGCATTTTACTTAGATGTACTACCCAAAGGTTTGTTTGTTCTACTTTATTTTTTTTATATACCAATATATTTAAATCAGTGTTCGATACATGCTATTAGATGATGTTTTTGTCATAAATTAGTATTATAATGAAAAGTTCCCTTAGGTAATGATTTTCAAAATTGTGTATATCTAAGAGTACTTTATTTAAGCAAGAGCTGGCTTAGACCCATTGAGGCTACCACCCCCGGAGAGGATTTGATTTGGAATTTATTTGTTTGGAGGCGGACCAAACGAAGACCCGGCCGGAATAAGAAATGGTTCCTTTGAGTGGCCGCTGGTAAACAGCTGCTGTGAATGGTCCAGAGGACTCCTTTTGTCTCTGGCCCCTTTTGTCATCTCCGATGGCCACTCTCTCAAGATTGGTATTAAATTTCAATATTTGTACATTGCTATAATTACGTCAATCTCTAAGCTTAAGCCATCGTTCCAAATAAAGACACTCTATCAGACACAATAAGAAACAATGGGGGAAATTAAGCAGAGTATAAAATACATTAATAAATAAAATGATTAAGAATATAAAAAAGATTTTATTTTATTTATTTAACATTATGGTGCCATCATGTACCGCAACATTAGGCTAGAGGCACCATTCCTGGTATGGTGGACTCTCGGGAGAACTCGAAGCTAAACTTAAATGTTTAATGAATTTCTCAAACCGCTTTATCTTCGGGATCTCAAGGGATACACATATTACCTAGTTCTACACCAAGTTGAAGCGGCTTTATCCGCCGTCAATATTTCCTTGCTACCTTCCTACACCACGCCATTAGAACACGGCGACATGCCTATATTCTACAGATCCTGCAATTCAAACGCTCCTTTCAATCCAGGCCCACCAGATCCTGTGCGTCCAACCTCTATCCTCCTCCTCACCGAACTGCTGCGTTTGATAAATCCTTTATAATACAATTTGTCTCCCTCTGGAACTCTATACCTTCAGATATTCGGCATGCAAAATCGATATCCTCATTCAAATCTCTCCTCTTCGAACACCTAATCCATTCCCAATTCGGTTGATCACGAAATGCACTTAAAAAGCTAAGCTGTAAAAACCTCAAAGTACACCCAGATACTCTGATTATTTTGTAATTCATCGATATTTCGTTTACTTAATTACTTTCTCTGCATATTTTATATTTACACGTATTTATATCTTTTTATTATTTATAACTTTATTGCATTCCTAATCAACTTGTAAATATTAAATTGTATTTTATGAACACGCCAAAATATTAATACATAATCTGTATTTGTAACTTGTTCTGAAGGGACACTAGTCCCAGGATAATAAAATTATTTTCATTCATTCCTTTACTTTTGCAATTTTTTAAACACTTTTATTTCTTTTATAAATTGCATGACTTGGTTATTGAATGCATTGTCTTTTCCTAACAAAGTTCTTAAATCCTGTGAATAGATTATAGATAAGACAATCAAGGAAAAAAAAAACAATCGAAATGACCATAACTGCAATCTATATAGCTCACCTATCATACTTAAAAACAAATTTCTGATACAATAATAAATAAAATCTACAATTCAATGGCGCACTATTAATTATAGAATCTGAAATCAATTATCCATTGACGAAGTTCAATAGATGAGAAAGTAGGAAGTCGTCGAAGCGAACGCTACCATAATTCATCCTATTAGATAAAGTGGCAATAGATATGGAAGGAAGGACGGGATAAATTCAGGCGCTTATCTTAAGGGCGAAGGGCAGGCTGGGAGGGGATCTATAGGATCTAGGAAGGGCCAGCATGTTCTAGGTCATAGCTTTGCTCCATTATCCAACAGAGGTCGGAGGAAATTGATCAATACAATATCGAACTATCTTTGTAATTTTCTGAATCCATGTTGGCCGAAAGTGTTGAGGCGTTATTTTAGCAACCTCGAGTCTAGTGGCTTCGGTTCAAATTCGGCCTGGGCAGCTCGTAATATTTTTCAGAATGAATCTCGACCTTCTCTCACTAGCTAGAATAGGTTGGTTACCTGTAACAGAACCCTCTAGCATTCATCATTTACTTTACACACCACTTAATTAAATTTTAAAAAACTCGTTCAAAATATGGAAAATTCGAATAAATTATGACAAATCCAAACATATAAAACTTAATTTTCGAAAAAATACATTTCCTCTAATTTATACTGTCAACAACAAAATTCCTCTAACAGACTTAGTACTTTAACTTTTCTTCGACCAAAGAATCACATGGGGTCTACCGGCACATGTAAAAATGAAATGGGGAATCCTTAACGAGCTTTCAAAACTGAAACTGAATACATATTTGACATGCTAATTTGAAATATGATATTTCTTTCCGGCCAATCATAAATGCCAATACATCTCGAAAACTGTAGGCAATTAAGTTAGCACAGCTTCCTCTTAATGTGCCGTTTTCCGTCACTATAAGTCAAGCACAGAGAAAGAATTTTATGCATATTAGTCTATTTTAAAGAATATTATGACATAGTGTATATTACGACATAACATTTTATGTTGCCTTATCTAGATCATACGGCGAGAAAAACCCTTGTATATGCGTACCACAGAGAGAAAGAACTCAAAAGTATTGTAAGTTTTCTGTAAATATATTAGTTTAAATCATAGCACGTCTTTAAAAAACTCAGAATAAACTAACGAACCGAATAAGTTTTCTGTAAAGTATTTTTTTAATTCTTCCTTGTTTCTCTACATTGATTTCGGATGTTATTTACGGTATTGATATTGATCATAAAACCATGAGGATAGCTAGTATATGATATATGCCTGTTAATGTAAACATAGTTAACAAGGTATTTTATGACGTTTGATACACGTTCTATAACCATCAACAGTGGTGCTCTCCGTACAAGACATCTTATGCCAGTAACTTTTTGAGGACCCCGAAGGCATATACTAAACTTCTTCAGCATTACA